ATGGACCCAAACCCCTATAAACCTCAACCCTGCTATTACAAGGCTTCGTATGTCAAGAACAATACGAATACAATACAAAAACATCGCAGTGGCTAGAGAGGCAAAGGGAGATGGGGCTCCTGACTGGTTTGTTGTTTTGAAGTGGTATCTGAAAGGGAGTTTTCTGCAAATGCGGCTTCCCATGCTGGACAGCACAGGAAGAAAAGCCCTAAAAGGCAAAAAAACCCTCTTCTATGTAAATACGAAACTTGCAGGTGCCTCCTTCTCCTTTATAGTGGTTAAAGCTCCCCACACCAAAATACTCAGAAAGACATGAACAAAAAAAGAGAGCACTCCTTGACGGCTTCTCGCAAATATAACATATTTATTTCTCAGCATCCCAGTGCAATGAAACTGTTTTGTTTTTATATGTTGTCGAAGGCTTTCATGATCAGAATCAAATGGGGTTTGAATATTTGTGGAAGAAAGATATATAAACCTCACTTGCCTAGTTTCCAACAGACGTCACAACCTCTGAGGATGTCTGCCATAGATATGGGTGAACGACAGGAGAGAGTGCTTCTGGATCATGGCCATACAGCCTGGAAAACTCACAGCAACCCACTGTTTTGTCTTGCTCCTAGGCTATCATAGCATTACTCTTTTGGAGAAGATCTCAAACTTGGATTTTACTACCGGTGATGATGGAGAAGAGGGAGATATACTCCCAATACTTCTCTCTCTCAGGAACAAATAATTATTTTCTTAGCCAATGAAGCACCAAATAGGCCAGTTGTACTTGTCTTCAAGTTGCCTATTGACTTATCGTAACCCCAGGCATTTAATGCGGTTTTCTCAAACTGAGAGGTTTTGCTACGAAGCAGCAATTGCCTGCTTTGGATGTAGATTCAATGTAGCCTGGCCTTTCCTCTTCTCCATCTGCAATATGGATGTAATATTACTGCTTTACCTTACAGGGTTGTTGTAATGATTATGAGTTATTTACTGGAAGAAAACTAAATAACCTGAAAGCACTGCATAAAATAAATGACCAAAGAGTATAAAATAAACATCAGGCTGCTGTGAGTTTTCTGGGCTGTGTGGCCATGTTCCAAAAGCATTCTCTCCTGATGTTTCACCCACATCTGCCATAGATGTGGGTGAAATGTCAGGAGAGAATGCTCCTGGAACATAGCCATACAGCCCGGAAAACTCACAGCAACCCTGTTTCTCAACAGACCTCACAACCTCTGAGGATGCCTGCCATAGATGTGTCGAAACGTCAGGAGAGAATGCTCCTGGAACATGGCCATACAGCCCAGAAAACTCACAACAACCCACTGTTTTTTTTGCTCCAACAAACCTCACAACCTCTGAGGATGCCTGCCATAGATGTGGGCGAAATGTCAGGAGAGAATGCTCCTGGAACATGGCCATACAGCCCGGAAAACTCACAGCAACTCAGTGATTCCGGCCATGAAAGCCTTTGACAACAAAATAAGCATCGTTCTCTAAAACAGAACGTAATAGGGGAAGAGCAATGACCATAATGGTTCTAATAAACCAAACCCCCCACCCCATTCTGTTGTTGCTGTGTGCCTTCACGTCATTTCTGACTGATGGCGATCTTATCTATTGCCTTTCTTAGCAAGGTTTGTACAGGAAAGGACAAATATGTTTCCTAGTGAGTCACAAACTAACTTTGCCAAATGCCAGATTGTTACAGCTGAATTCTGATGGATATTATTACCTTCTTGCCCAAAGCACCGCAGCACAATTTGAGGTGCGTAGTACCCGACTAGCCACGTCACCCATGAACCTAAGGCTGAAACTCCTATCCGCACCTTTCTCCCTCTGGCAACACAGACTGAGGATGCGGATGAGCCATCATATAATAACGCACTGCTTTTTCATGAGTTCCTAGTGCCTGAAGCTATCACCTCACTCTGCCAAAGAGCAGAGCCAGCCCTGCCGCAAGCCCAATATTTGGGGATATGAAGGAGGGTGACAAGCTCAAAGGTGCCCATAGAAAGACAACAAACTGGTCAAAGGTCTGGAAGCCATGACTCCCTCTGAGGAGCAGCTTAGGGAGCTGGGTCTGTTTAGCCTGAAGATGAGACGGTTAAGAGGGGACATGAGAGCCATATTTAAGTATCTGAAAGAATGTCCTATGGAAGAGGAAGCTGATTTAGTTTCTGCTGCTCCAGAAAGGAGGGCATAGAGTAACAGATTCAAACTGTAAGGAAAGGGATTCCACCTAACCTTAGGAAGAACTTCCTGATCAGGAGAGCTATTGATATCCTGCCTTGGAGAACGATTGGGAGACTCCCCTTTTGGAGATTTTAAAAGAGAAGAGCAGATGTGGGCAAACTTTGGCCCTCTGGGTGTTTTGGACTTCAACTCCCACAATCCCTAACAGCCTTTCGGCTGTTAGGGATTGTGGGAGTTGAAATCCAAAACACCCAGAGGGCCAAAGTTTGCCCTGGCCTGAGTTCCAGTCTCTGGATTGTTTCCCTGCCTGGTAGTACTGAGTTAGACTGGATGACCTTTGAGGTCTCTTTCTATGAAGTTGGACTTGTAGCACTCAAGTCCTTACCCTGATCTTGAAGGACTCACCCATCTTCTCCAATCTACAAGGGAATGAGAAAGAATGCAATATTCCTGCTTCTTGGCAGGGGGTTGGACTGGATGGCCCATGAGGTCTCTTCCAACTCTTTGATTCTATGAATCTCAGAGCAAGATCATTGTGGCAAAATGGAGTTGAGCTGGATGACCCTTGAGGTCTCTTCCAACTCTAGATTTCTATAAAAGAGCTGACTAGAGCTCCTTAAGGGCCCCCAGTGATACAGCAGGTTAAACCGCTGAGCTGCTGAACTTGCTGAATGAAACGTTGGCAATTCGAATCTGGGGAGAAGGGTGAGCTCCACTGTTAGCCCCAGCTAGCAGTTTGAAAACATGCAAATGTGGGTAGATCAATAGATACCGCTTCTGCAGGAAAGTAAAGGTGCTCTATGCAGTCATGTTGGCCACATGACCTAGGAGGTGTCTATGGACAATGCTGGCTCTTTGGCTTAGAAGTGGAGATGTGCACCACACCCCAGCGTCAGACACGACTAGGGGCCCTGCCACACAGCCCTATATCCCAGGCAGAAAATCCCAAAATAACTGCTTTGAATTGGATTATCTGAGTCCACACTGTGGGATTTCCTGCCTTGATATGGAAAGGACCTAGACTTAACGTCAAGGGGAAACCTTGACCTGTGAGTAGATCAATAGATACCACTTCTGTGGGAAGGTAACGGTGCTCCATGCAGTCATGCTGGCCACATGACCAAGGAGGTGTCTATGGACAATGCTGGCTCTTTGGCTTAGAAATGGAGATGTGCACCACACCCCAGAGTCCTACGACTAGGGGCCCTTCCACACAGCCCTATATCCCTAGCTGAAAATCCCACAATAACCGCTTTGAACTGGTTTTTTTTGTCGTGTCAGGAGCGACTTGAGAAACTGCAAATCGCTTCTGGTGTGAGAGAATTGGCCGTCTGCAAGGACGTTGCCCAGGGGACGCCCGGATGATTTGATGTTTTTATCATCCTTGTGGGAGGCTTCTCCCATGTTCCCGCATGAAGAGCTGGAGCTGATAGAGGGAGCTCATCTGCGCTCTCCCCGGATTCGAACCTAGGAGGTGTCTATGAACAATGGACTTTGGCTTAGAAATTGAGATGTGCACCACACCCCAGAGTCCTATGACTAGGGGCCCTTCCATACAGCCCTATATCCCATGCTGAAAATCCCACAATAACTGCTTTGAACTGGGTGATCTGAGTCCCCACAGTGGGATTTCCTGCCTTGATATGGAAGGGACCTAGACTTAATGTCAAGGGGAAACCTTTACCTAGATCTCTTTGCTCTGGTCCTCAAGGTCTGCTCATTGGAGGGAAGGGTAGTAAGAGGTCAAGATGAAGTACTTTGGCCACATCATGAGAAGAAAGGAAAGCTTAGAGAAGACAATGATGCTGGGGAAAATGGAAGGAAAAAGGAAGAGGGGCCAACCAAGGGCAAGATGGATGGATGGGATCCTTGAAGTGACTGGCTTGACTCTGAAGGAGCTGGGGGTGGTGACGACCGACAGGGAGCTCTGGCGTGGACTGGTCCATGAAGTCAGGAAGCGTTGGAAACGACTGAACGAATGAACAACAAGGTCTGGCCCCTCTTCTCCAGTCTACATAGGAATTTGGTAGGGCAAAAGCAATGGCAGAAATGGGCTCGGACTACATGGCCTTTGGGGTCCTTTCCAACCCTAGGATGCTAGGGAAAAAACCAAGAAGAGCCCTGCATGGCTGTCAAAAGGCTCTAGCAGGGCACGAACTAGGAAGTGTGTGTGTATGTGTATGCACACACGTATACACCGAGGAGCAGAGGAATCCCAGGATGGAGCGAGGAGGGGGCCAAAGGCATGAAGGGGAGGCTTGGGACCCCCTCTCCAGGCAGGAGCTGGGATGCGAGGATGAGAAGCAAGGAAAGAAGGAAGGACCCACCTCCGCTTGCCTTCCCGCTCCTCCTCCTCCTCCTCCTCTTCTCAGCCTCCTCCTCCTCCTCCTCTGTTTACCTCCAGTTTGAATTTTATCTGCGCAACATGAGCTGGAATGCGGACATCGGAGCGGGGAAAAGGCACGCGCGGCCAGAGGCGCTCCCACGGGGCCCTCCGCCCCCCCAGGGGCCCGCCAGGAGGGAGGGCAAGCCGGGAAGGGCGCAAAACACGCGGGGAAAGGCGCACCCCGGTCGCCGGGCAGGTCACCTCTCCTTGGAGCCTTCTCTCTCTCTCCTGCCTCCAAAAGATCCCGAGGATTACGCACCAGAAGTGGGCTCAGAAGTGTTTATTTTTGGGTGGATGGCAGCCTTGGGTTCCCTCTCTCCCTGGGCAGAGAGAGGCTTCCCTTCTTCTCCTTCTTCCCACCCCAAACCCCTCTCCTTCTTCCCCAGCCCCTCGACATCTCCCCACTTGGATGATGCGCACTTACCTCCTTGGCGCGCCTTCCTCTTCTCCCCCCAAAGCCACAAAACCAAAGGCAAGGGAGATAGAGCTCTTCTTCTCCTTTTATCTCGGAAGCAAGCACACCCTCTTCTCCGTCTCCGGCCACCTTTACCTCCTCCTCGATGCCCTCCCACCTGGAACACAAAAACGTGGCCAGAAACAGGTGCCATTCCGACGCAGCTCTCCCAAGTTCGCTCCTGGCGCCAATCTCGGGATTCTTCCTTCCAGGAGCTCCAGGGAAGGAGTGCAGGGAACCCTCCGCTTCTTTCTGTCGCTTCTCTTCTCTCCCCCACGGAGAATTCCACTCTGGGTCTTCCTCCCCCTCCTCCTCTTCTTCCTCCGAGAAGTTTCTTCCTGCGCCTCGGCTTCTCCCTCCTGCGTTCCTGCGTGCGCCTTGCGCCTTCCTCCTCCTCCTCTTCTTCCTCCTCTGGCTGCTCCACAGAGGCAGTGTTGCTGCTCCCTTGGCCACAATGTGGTTTCATTATATCGTGGCCATCATGTGACGCCCAGAGGCCTCGCTATGGAAACTTAGGGGACTCCCACGTGACGCTCTGCAGCACCAGCCCAGAGAGAGAGAGAGAGAGAGAGATTAGCCAGCCACACTCGCCTTCCTCGCTTCCACAAAAATCACAGCATCATCCTCTCCAAGCCTGCCTGCCTGCCTTCCTAGCAAAGCAAGGACTCTCGCCTAAGTTTGGTTGCAAAGCTGGAGAGTGGAGAGAGAGAAAAGAAAGATTGAAGGCAACAAACATCAAGAGTCAAGCTTCTTACTCCCCAAAATCACAGCATCACCCCCTCCAAGCCTGCCTGCCTGCCTGCCTGCCTGCCTGCCTGCCTGCCTGCCTGCCTTCCTTCCTTCCTTCCTTCCTTCCTTCCTTCCTTCCTTCCTTCCTTCCTTCCTTCCTTCCTTCCTTCCTTCCTAGCAAAGCAAATACTCTCGCCTAAGTTTTGTTGCAAAGCTGGAGACTGGAAAGAGAGAGAGAGAAAAGAGAGATTGAAGGCAACAAACATCAGGAGTCAAGCTTCTTACCCCCAAAACTCACAGCATCACCACCTCCAAGCCTTCCTTCCTTCCTTCCTTCCTTCCTTCCTTCCTTCCTTCCTTCCTTCCTTCCTTCCTAGCAAAGCAAATACTCTCGCCTAAGTTTTGCTGCAAAGCTGGAGACTGGAGAGAGAGAAAGAAAAGAGAGATTGAAGGCAACAAACAGGAGTCAAGCTTCTTACCCCCCCCCCCAAATCACAGCATCTGACCAAAGCCTGCCTGCCTTCCTTCCTTCCTTCCTTCCTTCCTTCCTTCCTTCCTTCCTTCCTTCCTTCCTTCCTTCCTTCCTTCCTAGCAAAGCAAATACTCTCGCCTAAGTTTTGCTGCAAAGCTGGAGACTGGAGAGAGAGAAAGAAAAGAGAGATTGAAGGCAACAAACAGGAGTCAAGCTTCTTACCCCCCCCCCCAAATCACAGCATCACCCCTTCCTTCCTTCCTTCCTTCCTTCCTTCCTTCCTTCCTTCCTTCCTCTTCCTTCCTTCCTTCCTTCCTTCCTTCCTTCCTTCCTTCCTTCCTTCCTTCCTAGCAAAGCAAATACTCCCACCTAAGTTTGGTTGCAAATCTGGAGACTGGAGAGAGAGTGAGATAAAAAAAGATAGACTGAAGGCAACAAACATCAGGAGTCAAACTTCTTACCCCCGAAAATCACAGCATCATCCCCTCCAAGCCAGCCTGCCTGCCTGCCTGCCTGCCTGCCTGCCTGCCTTCCTTCCTTCCTTCCTTCCTAGCAAAGCAAAGGCTCTCGCCTAAGTTTTGTTGCAAAGCTGAAGACTGGAGAGAGAGAGAAAATTGAAGGCAACAAACATCAGGAATCAAGCTTCTAAACCCCCCCCCCCCAATCACAGCATCACCCCCTCCAAGCCTACCTTCCTCCCTTCCTTCAGTTTCCTTTCTTCCTAGCAAAGCAAGGACTCTCATCTAAATTTTGTTGCAAAGCTGGAGACTAGAGAGAGAGAGAGAGATTGAAGGCAACAAACACCAAGAATCTTCTCACCTTCTTACCCCCCAAAATCACAGCATCATCCCCCTCCAAGCCTGCCTTCCTCCCTTCCTTCCCTTCCTTCCTTCCTTCCTTCCTTCCTTCCTTCCTTCCTTCCTAGCAAAGCAAATACTGTATCCTAAGTTTGTTTGCAAATCTGGAGACTGGAGAGAAAAGAGAGAGATTGAAGGCAACAAACAAGTCAAGCTTCTTACCCCTCAAAATTACAGCATCACCTCCTCCAAGCCTGCCTTCCTCCCTTCCTTCTTTCCTTCCTTTCTTCCTAGCAAAGCAAGGATTCTCATCTAAGTTTGGTAGCAAAGCTGGAGGCTGGAGAGAGAGATTGAAGGCAACAAACACCAAGAATCTTCTTACTTGTCACCTTCTTACCCCCCAAAATCACAGCCTCCCCCCCCTCCAAGCCTGCCTTCCTTCCTTCCTTTCCCTCCCCCCCCCTCTCCCTTCCTAGCAAAGCAAGGACTCTCATCTAAGTTTTGTTGCAAAGCTGGAGACTGGAGAGAGGAAGAAAAAGAGAGAGAGATTGAAGGCAACAAACACCAAGAATCTTCTTACTTCTCACCTTCCTATCCCCCAAAATCACAGCCTCACCCACCCCAAGCATTCCTCCCTAGCAAAGCAAGAAATCTCCCCTAAGTTTTGTTGCAAAGCTGGGTAGAGGAGAAAAAGAAAGCAAAAGGAAAAACAAAAAAGCCCCAGGAGCCAAGCAGTTCCCAACCACCCTATCTGTCAAATAAAAGGAAATAAGTTTTTTACTCGTTTAGTCACTTCCTACTCTTCCTGATGTCATGGACCAGCCCACACACCAGAGTTCCCTGTCAGCCAGCTACTTCAGAGTCAAGCCAGTCACTTCAAGGATGCCATCCATCCACCTTGCCCTTGGTCGGCCCCTCTTCCTTTTTCCTTCCATTTTCCCCAGCATCATTGTCTTCTCTAAGCTTTCCTGTCTTCTTATGATGTGGCCAAAGTACTTCATCTTTGCCTCTAATATCCTTCCCTCCAATGAGCAGTCGGGCTTTATTTCCTGAAGTATGGACTGTTGGATCTTCTCGCGGTCCAACGCACTCTCAGAATTTTCCTCCAACACCATAATTCATAATCCTTCGCTCAGCCTTCCCTATGGTCCAGCTCTCACATCCGTAGGTTACTACCGGGGGAAATACCATTGCTTTGACTGTCTCTACTCTTCACTATTTTGTCGAGATTGGGCATTGCTCTCCTCTCAAGAAATAAGCGTCTCCTGATTTCCTGGCTGCAGCCTGCATCTGCAGTAATCTTTGCACCTAGAAATACAAAGTCTGACACTGTCTCCACAAAAGGAAAATATAGAATCTAAAAGGAAATATAGAATCTCTGAATTGTTGGAAGAGATCACAAATGCCATTTAAAGGAAGAACTGTGAGTCTCACTAGACCTCCACTAAATCTTTTGGCTTCCTTCTTCTATGACAGAATAGTGCTTTGAATGCGATTTTCCTCCTTCTTTGCAGGATGGGATTGGACTGAATGGCCCACAAGGTCTCTTCCAACTCTATGATTCTATGAATCAGAGTTGGAAGGCCCCAAGGGCCATCTAGTCCAACCCTCTTCTGTCATGCTGGAACACACAATCAAAGCACTCCCAACCGAAGGCCACTTAGCCTCTGTTGGGAAACCTCCAGAGAAGGAGACTCCACCAGACTCGACAACATATTCCTCTATCAAACAGCTTTTACTGTTAGGATGTTCTTCCTAATGTTTAGGTGGAATCTCTACCTTTGCACTTTGAATCTCTTGCTCCATGTATCTCCTCAATGTGACATTCTTTCAAATATCTAAGCATGGCTCTCACGTTCCCTTCTCTCAGCCTTCTCTTCTCCAAGCTAAGCAGACTCAGCTCCCTAAGCTGCTCCCCATAGGGATTCATGGCTCCCATACTTTTGAGGATTTTGGTCACTTTTCTCTGGATGCTTTCCATCTTGTCAGTATCCTTCTTGAATTGAGATGCTCAGAATTGAGGTCCTCCAGGTGAGTCTGGCTAAAGCAGAGTGGGGTTATTACTTCCTTCTATCTATATATATATTATATTCTTATTGCAGGCTTAGCACAGCAGGCAGGGGCCAGGCTTAGGACAGCAGACTAAACTGCTGTGCTGCTGAAAAATCCTTTCAATCAGAAGATCAACAGTTTGAGCCCGGGTTGGGGTGAGCACCTGCCATTAGCCCCAGCTCATCTGCCCACCTAACAGATTGAAAGCAGATAAAATAGGTACCACTTTTAGCAGGGGGGTAATAAAGGTGCCCTTAAGGAACATCAGAGGAAAGCTCGTTAGCATGGAAAATGGAGCAACAGCACCCCCTGTGGCCAGAGTCAAGAACAGCCTCCAAGATGCCGGAAATAAGATGGGAAAAACTGCCTTTACCTCCGTTAATTGTACAATAGGCATTTAATGTTTGCCGTATGTGTGTTCTCTAAAGCTGCTCTGAGTCCTCTTTGGGGTGAGAAGGTCAGGGTATAAATACTGTAAATACATACATACATACATAAATATTGATGCAGCCTAGTTGCATTGGCTTTTTAGCTGTTGTGGGCACATTTAGCATATGGTCTACTAAGACTCCTAAATCCCTTTACCATGTACAGTTTTCTACCCATCCTGTATCTGTGCATATCATGCATATATATGTGCGTGTGTGTGTGTGTGTGTATATATATATATATATATATATTCCCTCATGGGTTCTAAAATTAAAATTAACTCATTCACTAGAAAAGTGGACTGAGCAGGAAGGGCCCTCCACATACAACCAAAGATCCACTGAGTGAGCAGACTAAATGAGTAAGCCCATTGATATTAAGCAATTTTCCCAACAAACCAATCTGTTAAGATTGCAATAATTTCCCAGCCATCATTAAATTAGAAATTTGAGCAGCTCTACTTAAGCAGTAACGTCAAGGCATTAGCAATAATGCATTAAATGCCACTGTGATATTTCCCAACTGTGTCTCAAGTAATGGAGAGTGGGGGCATTTTGCCAAAAGTAACACAAGAAGGTAATCGTACATTCCTTTCCCCAATATTCAGGCTTCCCCCAAAGAGCTGGGAAGTAAATAAAAAGTCAATGGCTCTGGCAACTCTCCTTGTTCCTCTTTTGGTCATGGGAAAAGTAACTTTCGGCACATTCTCTGTGTACAGATAGAGGGCATTTTTTGAAAAAGGGGGAAGTATCTAATAATGAAGAAGCCAGGTTGGGTTTAATGTATTGTCGAAGGCTTTCATGGCTGGAATCGCTAAATTCTTGTGGGTTTTTTCAGGCTATATGGCCATGTTCTAGAGGCATTTCTTCTGACGTTTCGCCTGCATCTATGGCAAGCATCCTCACCTCTGAGGATGCTTGCCATAGATGCAGGCGAAACATCAGGAGAAATGCCTCTAGAACATGGCCATATAGCCCAAAAAAATCCACAAGAATTCAGGTTGG